ATAACAATAGGGATGGCACGCAAGGGTAAGTAGGAAAGGATTGGATACAACTTCCTAGCAAGAGACTAGCTAGTGCTACCAAGCCAGAACCTTTCTGCTGCTGCTGCTGCTGCAAGACAGACACAGCTCACAAAAGGCACAGAACAGATCATTTCACACACAGACTTATATCTTGTTTCTATGTTCCTCCCCCAGAGGACTGACTGGAAGAGAACTCAGGGAAAGATCACAGTCGCTGGCCAGCTACAGATATCAATATCAGAGCAGTCTTTCCCACCCCCCTCCCTCTTCTTAGTTTGTTTCCTGCAAGCCTGCCTTCTGAATCTCCGAATCTTTTGTGGATCAATTTGGATGTTTCTGATTTGATTCAGACCTTTTAATGAGTCTTTTGATTCTATTCGGATTTGGAGATTCAGCTGCTGAATCGTGCCAAATCTCTTCCGAATCAAATTGGCTACTGAAGCTTTGCACAGCCCAAATATATGTATAGATCTACAGTTTTCCATGATTTAAATGAAATACCACTAATATATAGATATGTATATAGATCCACATTTTCCTTTATTAACTAATATGAAGATATATATAGTGGTGTTTCATGTTAATCATGGAAAGATGTGGATTTTGGGTTACTTTAATCTGCAAACTGGGGATTTTTTTTATCAGAGAAAACCAGGATCTGTGATGATCAGAGGGTCTTGAGTGTTAGGAGAAGTTATATGAATTTGTTAGTAAAAAGAGTGTATTGTGATTTATAGGCACATCTCCTTCCCTCCTGCCTGGCTTCATGAAACAAGGTTGGGGAGCATGTATTACAATTCAATTCACTGTCCTTATGGAGAAAACTGGCCAGCAGTAGGTGGGCAGCAAGGCAGAGGACTAGAAACCAAAAGGGCACAAGCTTGGCTGCTACAAAATGGTGAATTCCATGGCTAAAATGGGCAAGTCTCTGGTACCTTTGAAAAACTTGAAATTCTGCAGGTATAGCATCATGAACTTCACAGGCTCCTGGGTTTGATGAATGGAGCATATCATGCTTTTCAAGGCTGTTTTTTCATGTCTATGTAGATACAGGAAGAGACTACTACATCATACTTTGTGGGTGTTCTTTACAGAAATGAAAACTATTCTTTCTTCTTTTTGTTAAATATAAGGAAAGATTCTGACAGTTGTGCATATGGGAATTTTTTTGTGGCAAATTCCAGAGCTGTAAAGCGTATAGGTCCTTATTCAAAATTATGCATGCTAGCGAACAAGTTTATCAAATGTTGAAAGCAAAGTAGATCTTACGGTGCAATTCATGTGTAGCACTAATTGCAGAAATCTGGAACTGGCTTTTTGTTCTCTTACCAACCAGAACATACTCCTGTTCCTGCTATTTTGCCCAGGATGTTGCACTGAAACTCCTAGTGTATTATTAGAGAGAGATTAGTCAAGTGAAAGGTAGGTTTATAGAAAAGTAAGTTTAATTTAACTTGATTATCTCTGGAGCTTACATAAATTATGTTAAAATAAACCTATTTATATGTAGAGAACAGCACTTATCTACAGAAATAAGACCCACATTGAGTAAAATATAGAATCAGTCTTGCAGGATCTGGAAGAGTTAAAGCTCCTGAGCTATCTGCAGAGAGTTAAACTTTGTAGTGCAACCTCTCTTTTTTCCAGTTAGAAAACTACATGTGTGGATAGCTCTATATATAACATGCCTGGATGGCTAATATTGCTTGCCACATAGTCATCTTCTACTCCTATATGCTTGTTGTTTGATTGTGTACAGGAAGCAGAGAGATCTCTGAATCAGTCTCTTAAGATATTTACAGCATTAGAAAGTTTTCTAACTCCTGAGCTAGAGGGCAGGTACATGCTTAATCATATTTAAAGTATGTAGAGCCATGGGGCTTACCTCTCCCCAGCCCAGAAAATGGGAGTACAGAGAATCTCTTATTTAGTAGCTAATCAGAATTGTAGCTAATATAGCCTTCTCATTAAAGGGGTAGGAAGCATTACTTAAGGATTTGCTGATTAGTGTTTTCTGTGCTTCATGTATATCACAGAAATTGTTTAGTCACAAGTGCTCATCTTAATGGCTCCTCTACAGTAATATGTTTGTTACAGTATATTATGGGTGGTTTTCCACATTCCTGCTTTAATTTCTAACATGAAATTTAAAAAACTGCAACTTAATAAATGGCAATAATCAGACTGTCAAATATGAGCACATTTTCAAAAGCCATACCAGTATGTTTACTAACCAGAGTGGTTCAGAATGCAACCAGGCTTGCCAACAACATCCTTTTCTAAGTTGTGCATCAAGGTTGCCGAAATTGAGCGTGCAGAAAATAATTCAACATACAGAGAATAATTATCGTTAAGTTGAGACTTAAAGTAAATTCTATAAAGCAGTATGGTTGTTGCAAATCTGACTGAAATAAAGAGCAGGTAAATCTTTGTAACCAGAACCAGTATTATCTCAGGTGACTTGGAAGTGTGTGTCCTAAATGCTGGGTGCCTAACTTGAAACATAAAACAAAGGGGCCTGATTTTTAGAAAATGTCACTTTATGGATGTTCCATATTAAGAATCCAAGGATTCAGGCATTTGTGTTCTCTAGATACTTTTACGAATCTTGGCCTGGGCTTCTAAATTCCTTCAACTCTGCACACACTCACAACCATTTTAGTCATTCAGTATCCCTCGTACAGCATAGTATGCAACTGCTGATTCTCTGGATTATGGTCCACACCTAAGAGGTCTACTCAGAAGCCTGATGAATCTGTTTATGGCTGACAAGCCCAATCCAAGGGTGACACTGCTTGTAACAAGTTTCATAGATCTCTGTGTTGTCTGAGTTAGAGTCCAGATTGGAGTACAGTATAATGCAGCTCTAAACATACCCTGCTAAGCACATGCTGAGTAGCTTATGAGTCTGAAAGCTATAATAATCAATGCTGACAAACTTCTCTGCATGGCTGAGCCCCATGTAAAGATTTGGTCACTCTGTTCATTTTTACAAGAAGCTATTAAAAAAATAATTCTAAGAAAGTGAGAAAGAATCATTAGTGTATTCAGTTATCTGGATAAGCAAATTCACCATTTGGATCCTTCTGCTGCTTCTACTGAATGACCCTTGCTGTTTTAATGGCTTTTGGAGACATGGAAGAAAAGTTGGGGGTGAGGGAAGGGGGCTGGTTGGTTTTTCCACTGACAGAGATATAATTTTTAAAATATCAATTATCAATCAGTTATTGCACATGGATAGCATTTACCCTTTTGAAGTTGTTATGAAGTTACAGCTCTTTTGGTAGGGGAAGAATCATATTATAGGACTAGTCTTCTATGAAGTGCCATGTACCATTCCTTCTCAAATTGTGGGAATTCAGTATTTTGCAGAATCAGGTCCATTGAAAAGAGTCCTATATATTTGCATTGAGATGGTTGAAAAGTTTGTGCTGTTTCATTATATCTGTGGTACTATGGTATGATTTTCTATTAACTTTCTTAAAGAAAATTCACTTTTAAAAGCTTCAGTCAAAGTATGTTAAAGTTGTGTCTTAAACTAGTAAAAGGATGGAAATATACAGTGAAGATTGGAGTCTTAGTAATGTTATATGCAGCCAGGCACCAAATTAACTTTCCTCTGTTGCTCCCTGTCGTGGCTGGTTACTGGAGAATGCTTTGCAACAGGACTTCGAGTCCTGTTCTTGATTCAAATCATAACCTTAATATTCTCTGAAAATTGTGAAACTACATAGACACTATGTCAATGTGTACGCACAAAGGAAGACTGTGATACTTATAGGAGTTCTTATATAATATAACCATTTCTTTTTTGTACTTCATGTCTTATACATTTATTCATGTATGAAAAGAACATTATTATCAAACAAACCTAACTTTGTTGACAGTGCCCCCAAATATAAATTGGAGAAATGTTTCATAAGCCGTATTCAGAACAGTGTGAGTATAAGCCCTAAGTCATGACATATGTCAGCCTTGGAAAGATAGTGTATTTTCTGTTTTTAAAGACTCAAACAAAACTTTTCACATTCTTCTTTTAAAAAATTACATTTGAAGTCCTTTTTCACCCAAACACATTTTTAGATAAGAGCACACAAGTCTTGACATTATTTCATTTTGTTATGCGGATCTGTCAAGGAACAGAGATATGATACAGCTACTAAAAACTGATGATTGTGGAACACTGAAACTTGACAGCATTTCATTTCCTTTATGTTCTGATTATACATTTATCAGGAAACCTGTATCTCTTCTAGTTCAGCTAGAAATTGGTAGAATTCAAGAACTCAAAGGCTTGGCAAAGAACTGTCCTATTATTTGGTATCATCTTACATTTTAGAGAAGTTGCTTGGTTGAGTCATTGTTAAAGCTTTTGCTTCTCCTTTCATTATTGTGGTGCACTATCCAGAGATCACATTTCTATAGGCCCTATAACTGCTCTGCAGCACAAATTAAACGCTGGGATATTTCATACATATACCGCAAACTTTCAATGGTTGTCAATCATAGTTTGTAAAATATAGGGATTACAACCTGATATTAACATCCAAATCCATTGTGTTCATTTTATGTGTGAAAATGAGAAACCCTTGTGCAGACGCAAGATTTCACAGCTTCTTTGTCGCACTGTTTTTAATTTATCTTCATGTTTTGAGCCAGTAAAATGATTTTACTTATCAGTTTAATGTAAAGTGATAAAATATATCTATGGATCTGATTTATTGGAACTTGAGTAGATCTACAGGTCATGTGAGGATTCATTCACTGCGGTGATTGTAAGACCAGGTAGTAATTTTACTAATTCCTCAATTAATAGAGTTATTTATTGAATTCTGCTAAACTAAAGTTCTTGTTCAGTTTCCTTAAGGAAATTAATTTCTATACTTACATTACATTAATCTCTGTAACTGCCTTTTGAAACTAAATGATGTGTAATGGTGAGTTTAATTACTGACTTGTATATAATTTTGCATCCCTAGGTCTACTTCAGCAAGAATTACCCAGAAGTGATTCAAAATGGTCAAGTTGTTGCGGACTCTTCACCAGATTCCTCCTCAGGATTCATCATTTCTGAGACTGCACTGTGATCCCAATTAAACACAGTTATTTTCTATACATTTGCAATCCTGAAATTATAAATCTGAAACAAGTAAACCCTAGGTGACTGGTGCTTAAAGGAGGGTGGTTTCTTGCACTGGACATCTATACCGTTTATTAGTGAGAAAATATATCATGTCCTGGTTATGTTAATTTCAGTGCAATAATTTTCTTTTTTTATTATTTCTGTTTCTAAAGGAGTTACAGACACAGATCCTCTTTGAAAGCTAATCTAGAGACTTTTCTTATTAAAAGAGGTGCAGGACACTTAACAAAACTAGGATGCTTTTTGGAGGTTTTTAAGAAACTGGAGTTCCCTTATGTCTTTTGGAAACATGCAAAAACATTGTTGAGTTTGCATTAAAATGTTAACTTTGCTACAGCAATTTTGATAATCTATAACTCAGTTGTCTAAGGCAGCATTTTATATATACATATATATTCTTACTTCATATTTTTACACAGCTTTGTGAATAGGCAAAAACAAGAACTGAAAAAGCCAAAAGTACATTTAATAGAGGAAATAAATATCCATGTATTGGCATGTTAAATTATTTTTTAATTAAATGTAGCAATGTGCATTCATTGTCCAAAAATGAATGTAAAAATTGCCATTTTTCTTTCCTAAGATCAAAATGCAAAAGAAGCAATGTTAACTTACTGAATTATAATGAAAATGGTCACATTTTGCGTATTTGCACTACACAAATATTGAAATAATTAACTTGCATTCCACTTTATCCAGGTAATCAAAGAAAAAAGTATTAAAATAACTTGAAACATCTGAAATACTAGTCATAAGCAAATATTTTGTAATAGAAAGTTATCTTCAGCACAGCACATTGAAATGTATACATTATTTACATTTATTGTGCCTTAATATTTGTGCCTTCAAGCCAAAGCTCTAACTGCAGTTAATGCAGCAAATTGATTCAATATACTTTTTAATGTTTAAAATTAGTATATTTAATTATCTTGTATCAGGGATTATACCTGTTTAATTGAAGCTCTTGAAATTGTCATTTTGGTGCACATGCATAGAAGGGTAAAAACAGCTAGAATTGTTGAATGGCCCCTGCTAATGTTTAAGAAGAATTTAATGGGAGATCTGTTATGCCCTGATTCATCAAGTTATTTTAACACATAGCACTATTTGCACGACTAATAAAAATAAGTAAGTGAATTATGTTCTTTGCATTTCAGAAAGATGCCTACAATTTGATATTCAGTGCAGTCTAAGCCTATTTGTCTTATAGTTAGAGTGCACCTATATACGAGCATTGAGGCTGCTCAAACGAGCTTTAGTTCAAGTACCCCCACTGCCATTTTAAAGTTTAGGGATGTTGATCTACAAGATGTGGTGGCACTTGAATTAGAGCGGCTCTTGGAGCGGTTCTAATTAAAGCGCTGGCTCCCCCACCCCTAGAGCACTTATAAAAGTGCCGTTAAAGGGCATTTACTGCTAGTAAAGTGTAGAGATGGAAAAACACAAATCACACTGAAAATATTGTTGGGGGGAAAAGGTGTTTTTTAAAATGCTGCAAAAAATTGATATTGCACTGTGTTGTACATGCTGTTTTCCTATGGGTCCCTTTGGCAAGCATCCCAAGGACACTGGCATAAAGCAAAGCAATCCATTTCTGCTACATTTGGTTCCAATTTGTCCATCCACCTAGTTGTGGTATTATGGTTCCTTGTAATGTTTTTTTAAGTTAGCCAGAGGTCCCAAAATGAATAAAAATAAGGCAAACACATGCCTATCTCATTTCAAACCTTTCTACCAGGGATTATCTATTGAAAATACAAAACTACTCTCTGTAATAAATTCAAAGCAGACCCCACACCACAGAAGCAAGGCTGATTTGGAAGAGCTTTGTCCCGTAGACACCTAACAAAGTTTGTCCTATCCAACACTGGCAAAGTTAAGGGACAGAATCTTCATTCCTTTCCTGCAGTAGTTTTCTATATAACAGGGCTTGCTGCACTGCTGTAGGAAAAGGAGAGAAAAGAGCAAATAGCCAACAGGGTATACTCCTGTATACTACATATGTTTAAAGCAGAAAGCCACTCCTGAAGAACTGTGCTTTGTGACATGCAAAAGGTGCAGCACTCCCTCTGTAGGGTTTTCTGTGGCTTGGGACATTTGCCTAAACTAAAGCACTACATTTCTGCTACTTTTGATTCCAATTTGTCCATCTGCCCTGGTTGTGGTATTATGGTTTCTTGTAATGTTTCACAGTTAACAACAAGTTCCAAAATGAAACTCCATCCTTTTAATGAATAGCACTTCCCTCCATAGTAATTATCATTGAAGTCAGTGGGGCTACATTTTATATGATGCTAGTCCTAATATGAGGGTCTCATGTTCTGGTCTGTAAGTTTGGCTGGAGTCTAGTCTTACCTAACCTTGTTGTGCAGTCATGTAATTGTATCACAATCATGTAATTTCCATGTAGTTACTTCGGGACTTACAACATAGCAAGTTTTAAATGGCTGAGAGGTCACATCTGCACAGAAAACTTACTGCTCCAAGCAGTGGTGTATTCAAATATGAGCTGACTCCTGAACTGAGAAAGTGTAGCCCTGTTTCCACCATGCTGTGAGGAGGCTCGTTAGCATAGCAGCATCATGCAGCCGTGCTGTTTAGCTTTTCTTCAATGCCGTGTGAATATAGCCACAATTCTGCTGGTTCAAGCAGCAGCCCATATGGAGCACGTTTGAAAGCTCTGCTGCTTGGCATGGTAAGTTTGCTTTGCCTTGACAGTGCTCATGAGACAAAGGTGCAATTACACTGCTTCTGATTCAGGAAACAGCCCTTTCAGAGCAACACAGTGTGTTTTAAGGGTGCCACTGCCAGGTCTATTAAGCTGGCAGTCTAGACCTGGCTGAAGAAAAGTGTTGTGCTTGCTCTGTGTTGTATGTTGTAAATTTTTGTAAATGAAATAAGCAAGTGCCGACTTTTTGGCCACAATTTGCATCACTTTCAAGGAGAATTATGTGTATGGATCAAGGATATAAGGTGGTGCTAGGTAACTTCAGCTAAAAATACATCTGTGGCAATAACACTTGAGTAGAACCAGAAGTTTTTGCCTTCCTCAGGCTTTCTGGGTTGAAAACTAGAGAAATCCTAATATATCAGGCAATGAACTAGCATAGTCTACTTAGCAGAATTAACTTGATATTGTAGTTTTTTGAATGTACACAAAACGTTAGGCATCTTTGAGAGTGCTGATTTTTCTGCTTAACATGTTTTGATGGGACAAGGCTGACTATATATATGAAATCTCAATGTAACACCAACTGAAAAACAATGTAACCTGTTAAAAAGCACAATTGGTACTAGTATTTTCATAGTCTGGTAACCTCTTGCAATATGTTACATCTATACTTCACTCTTTCTTTACAAAAAGATAAGCTACGTGGTTGTAAGTTAGATTTCACCAAGAAATTGTTATTCAGTTTGTTTCTTAATGACTGCTGCAGTTATATTTAAATGATTATTGATGGTAACAGTGGTTGATCCATATATCTTCAGGCAAGCAAAATATTAGTTATTGCACTGCACTATTAACAGCGTATTTAAACCTGGTAGTTATTTAAGATGTAGGATGGACTTTGTCTTTCATTCAGTGAGCCTCTTGATTGCTTAATGTATGAAATCTCTCCCCAGGCCAGCCTTTTTCATTTCCTCTTCAGGTAGAATTCACCACGGTATCCACATTTGAAAATGCATTTAATTTATTTGCAGCAACAAAACTGCACAAAATTTACATGCCTAAACAGGGATTTCATGGGAATGAACTCAGTCATGTAAGTTAGTAAAGGCTTTAGCATATTTCTTCACCAACAATTCCCTTAAAATTCACTAGAGTCTTCATTCGAATATATTACTGGAAGTAACTGGTCTTTTTTAAGAGAAGAGACATCAAAACAGACATTACAAGGTCAGATTTTTGTATTATATTATAATAATATGCTGCAAATCACCACTATATAACTCTTTTTCGTCACTGTTGAGTGTAAGAGACTGGGAAGTGCCCCCATTTATGCTTTAAAAAATTGTACTTCAGATGAAATACCTGTTCATTTTTGTTATAACTTAGATCTTTGTGTAAAAGAGAGAAAAATTCTATACAAATACACAGTCTTCTTTAAAACAGTGTTTTTCTCTGGCCCGGTAAGTCTATAAGCGAAGTTCTGTCAAATCCATTCCTTTTGAAGATACCAAGTCACTCTTCAGATGTAGGCTGAAGTACTGCCACTAACATTGTTCCCCATCCTTAGAAGAGACAGGTGCTTGATCTGGCCAAAATCAGTTATTCTGGTTATCTGAGTGATGTTGACTGGTTCTAACAACTTTCCCAGTCTGTGCTTAAAACGGTAGTAATATTATTATGCTTGTGGGTAATCATAGGCTGGAAATAGAGGAGCCAAGTAAGGTACAAACCTCCCTGCCAGTCTTGCTCTTCACATCACCCTGTCTCTCTCCCCAACAAGAACCTGACTTTGTGATTTCTGTTTTGCTGTCTCTTCTCTTAAAAAAGTCCAGTTACTTCCAGTAATAATGATGATGTGCTTCTGACATCATAGCAGAAGAATGGAGTTTTACATACACTTTAGTATCTGTAATGTAACACTTTTTGACCATTTAAACTCTGTTTTCTGTGGTGAACATTTTTGTGTAATGACTTCCTTACGATGTTGTCATGGAAGGTTTTTTAGTTGGTTATTTACAATGAAGCTCTTACACAATAAAATATGATTATAAAATCCTCAAAAGCATGGACTCCTGTTGCAATGATTACACAAAGTGGAACATCCTGAATTTCTGCTTTTGCTGCTTTTGAAATGGTTTGGTTTATGGCAGCATCTTGAGCCCCGACCCAACACCTTTTGCTGCATTGCCAACTCCAGATCTTGAAAGTTCACTTGTTAGGATGCAAAAAAGCATTAAAATAATGAATTTTGTGTTGCTAGTATTTGTCCTTTGGTTCCTGAGCCTTCCTAGATCACACTTTTAAGCATTTTCCCCAAACAAGGCTACAAACTAAGTTTAGAAAGAGCAAGCAAGCAAAAGTTGGAAACAGATTTTCACAAATTAATAAATTGAGACTGTTAAGGGATTGTCTACACCATTCAATATCCTGCCCATTCATGGCTGAAGGCACATTCCAAATTGAGAAATATGTACGTGAAACTGGTCCAGGATTGTCCAGAGCAGTCACTGTCAAGGACACCAGAGATCAAGACCTGGAGAACAGGCTTTGAGGGTTGCCTTCAAGTAGTGTCACCAGCAAACTTCTGACTTGATTTATGCCTACAGGTATGGATGGGTGGGTCCAATCTGGCCAGAACAGCTGCTGCCCTAGTGTAGGCAAGCCCTGTAAAAATTTACCATTATGGTCCTATATGTTATACCAATGCACAATTAAAAAATAGCTCACAACCTGAACACACCAGATAAAGGGAAGAAAGAAAACCATGCAGAAGGTTACCTAAAATTATGCTGCAGGTTAGTGACAAAGCTCCAATCCTGTTCTTTGGACTTCCAGTCCTCTTCCTAGCATTGACTGCATTGCCTCATTAACTGAGTTACTAACATACTCTGTTATATGTCATATACAATACGTAGTTTTGCTTAAGAATGGGTTTAAGGCCCTTTCTTAAGCATCTAAATTTGAACCTTGTTCAAAGTTCAGGCCATAGCATGTTAATTATACTTGATAAAGAAGGCTGAGCTCAGTTTCTAGGCCTGGTGCAGCAGGTATGTCACGCATCCTCCCACAAGATATGGCTCTGGTCTTTATGGTAAACCTATTTTCCTTGTCTTCCTCAAAAGTCTTCCAGACAAGATAATAGATTAACTATTTTATGTTCCCCAAAACTAGTTTGGCTTGATACTAATATGTTGTTCCAACATAATAGGCAAAATAATTAAATATAAAATATCCTGTTGAAGCATGTGTTTCCAAATCTGCATCAGTAACCTGGTTGTTGATCATAAAAGTTCTCCTGCTGTATTCGGCCTTGGTGAGGCTGCAGCTGGAGTACTATGTCCAGGTTTGGGCTCCACAATTCGAAAGGGATGTGGAGAAGCTTGAGAGGGTGCAGAGGAGAGCTACGCTTATGATCAGAGGTTAGGAAAACAGACCTTGACAGGCTGAGAGCAATGGGGCTATTCAGCCTGGAAAAACGCAGGCTCAGGGGTGATTGGGTGGCCACCTAGAAGTCTATCAGGGGTGCTCATCAGGATCTGGGGGAACGTCTGTTCACCAGAGCCCCCCAACGGATGACAAGATCAAACGGTCACAAACTCCGCTGTGACCGGTTCAGGCTGGACATAAGAAAGAACTTCTTCACTGTCCGAGCCCCCAAGGTTTGGAGCAGACTGCCACCTGAGGCAGTTCAAGCACCCACTTTGAATGCCTTCAAGACACATTTGGATGCTTATCTTGCTGGGATCCTATGATCCCTGCTGACTTCCTGGCCCTGGGGCAGGGGGCTGGACTCAGTGATCCTCCGGGGTCCCTTCCAGCCCAAATGTCTATGAAATCTATGAAATCCAATAATATTGTCAAGATAGGGATTTTTTTCTCTCTAGAAAACAACAGCAGATAAGTAGAAGATCGAAGTGTGTGTGTTCCTGCTTTCATCCCCAAACAACCTATGTGGGTAAGAAATTTATAACTTTAATATCTTAGATTGACGCAAAAGTTCAGAGAAATATTGAGGTGTAATGCAAAGGAATGATTATAGTTCACAGCAGACAGGCTAGAAATGCCCTAGTGTGGTATGTCATGCATCTTTTTCATTTGTGTAATTTCAGTAAGCGTTTAGGTACCTTAAGTTTCAATTATTTGATGGCAAAGAAAGAAAAAGTTGAGGTATTCAGAAAGAAATCTGAAGTAAGAATAGCAAGGTAATTTTCAACACGACAGCAGCCAATATTCCTAAAATTATATAAATGACAATTACTATCCTTTAAGGCTCTAGGTTGGAATGTGTGAAGGAAGAGTACACACCTTGGACTTCCAGTCAGGATCTTGGTGTCAGTAAATACTACCGGTTTCTTCCCATCAGTGCATGTCCTGAGCGTGAACAAGACAAGGAAAGGCTAGGGAATGAGTTTTTGAGAGAGCTTGTGTCCATCTTGCAGGTTATGAGCAAAGTGTGATTTTTCTCAGGGCTAGCAATAGTGGTTTGCAACCATATTTCATAGTGTGTTCTAAAAAAGGGCACCCTACATTAACCACAAGGGCTTCAAAGACACGTGATTGCTGCAAGTAGAGTTATGCAAGTAAATCATAATCTGTCACTTAATCACCAAATTATTTGCCTCTTTCCACAAGTGTGACTTCCTCACATTCTTTCTTTATTTAAAATACAGTACTCTGAACCTTTATGCAGGGTTTTTTATGTCTATTGCAAACAGTTCCCTGGGAACACTTGATTAAGAATTACTATTGTTAGAGGTGGTATTTATAATTGATCAAAGAAGTCACCTGGGAATTGCTTCAGTTTCATTCATTTGATATGAATACCTGTTCTTATAAATTTCAGTTTGGTTAGTGTGACTGCCTGGGCATGTAGCTTCTGAATTTCAGTATCTGGGAACACTGATGTCAGGAATGCTCAATCTATTGGAACAAACATGGCAAGTCAAAGCAATGGGAGGCACAAACATGTTGCAAAGCTGTTTAGAAGTTCAAATGGTTGTTTATGGGAAAGATTGTTCCTGTTCTAGAAGCAAGAAGTATGTCAGGAGGGATGAAAACTCTTGTTGAACCCAGAAGAATCTGTGAAAGTTTCTTAGCAAATGATGTGATTTGGAACAGGGACATCCAATTCAAATTGGTTGGTGGGCCCTATTCTTTGCCTTGCAGGTACCTATGCACCGCACCCCTATTTTTTTTTACTAAAACTTGTTTATTAGCTCAGCTTACATGTTGTGTAAGCTCTGTGTGTGTGTGTGTGTGTGCGCGCGCGTGTGTCACAAAATGTTGAGAGGCAGGAGTCAAGGTAGATGTCATCTACTTGGATTTTAAGAAGGCCTTTGATACGGTATCTCATCCTGTTCTCATAAACAAACTTAGTGGCTGTGATGTAGCTGATTACATGGTCAGGTGGGTGACAAATTGGCTTAAGGGTGGACCTGGACAGGCTGCAAAAGTGGTGATTGACAGGTTGATAGCGACCTGGAAAGATGTGGGCAGTGGGGTCTCCCAAAGCTCAGTCCTTGGACCTGTGCTATTCAATGTCTTTATCAGTGACTTGAATGAGGGTTTGGAGAGCACTCTATCCAAATTTGCAGATGACAAGAAATTATGGGGTAAGTAAACACACTAGTAGGAAGGGATCGAATCCAGGTGGACCTGGACAGGCTGGAAAAGTGGGCAGAAAACAATAAGATGCAGTTCAACAAAGACAAGTGCAAAGTGTTGCATCTAGGGAGAAGGAATCACCAACACACCTATAGGCTAGGGGATGACCTTCTCAGCAGCACAGCGGCAGAAAGGGATCTCGAAGTCATAGTTGACTCCAAGATGAATATGAGCCATCAATGTGATGAAGTAATCAGTAAAACTGACCGCACTCTATCATACATTAGCAGGTGCATCACAAACAGGTCCAGGGATGTGATACTTCCTTTCTATGCAGCACTGATCAGGCTGCATTTGGAGTACTGTGTTCAGTTCTGGGTGCTGCACTTCAAGAGGTATGTGGACAACCTTGAGAGGGTCCAGAGGAAGGTGACTCAGATGGTTAGGGGCCTGCAAGTAAGGCCCTATGAGGAGAGACTGAGGGACTTGGATCTCTTCAGCCTTTGCAAGAGAAGGTCTGAGAGGTGATCTTGTGACCATTTACAAATTCATCGGGGTTCAGCAAAAAATAGGAGTTGCTCTGTTTACCAGAACACACTTGGAATAACCAGGAACAACAGCCACAAGCTGACAGAGAGCAGATTTAGGTTGGACATGAGAAAGAATTTCTTTACGGTAAGGGTTGCCAGCATCTGAAATGGGCTTCCAAGAGAGGTGGTGCTCTCTTCTACCTTGGGGATCTTTAAGAGGAGACTGGACAAGCACCTGGCTGGGGTCGTATGACTCCAACACTCTTTCCTGCCCAAGGCAAGGGGTCAGACTCAGTGATCTATTGAAGTCCCATCCAGCCCTAACAACTATGAATACCCCCCCACACACACACATGTGTACGTGTGTGTGTGTGTGCTCGTATCAATAGCAGTTTTCAGCATGCATCTTATTTTAACTTGTGGATGTATAAAAAATTATTACAAACTGTGAAGAATTGGATTTATTTTCAAAAAGTGTTTGCAATAGCTCTTATAGGGAAAATGAAGGGAACATATGATGAACTAAAAACACAAAAGATCTTCTGCATACACTAACATCTTACTACTAGTTCTGCTTCTGGACACTTGGCACCCCTTCACTGAAACTAGTTCCTTGATGTTTGGCTGGAAGGTCTGTGCTGAGGCCACTTCCAGGATGGCATTCAAGTTTTTGTCACTTGACTCTTGAGTGCAGTTTTGCACTGTTGATATTCATCACTGAGATCTACTAGCGCACACACACACACTTGTGAACATGGATAACATCTTTGAAGCAAAAGATTCTATTGCTGAATAGTTTTCTCCTAAGTATCAATAGAATTAATTTACTTTAATGGATGAAAACTGATCTTTCAAGGTAGTGTTACACTGAATACCAGTGAGTTCTGTTTGCAGTTCCTCAAGGACAACTTCTGAAGGAACAGA